TAGAATCAAATTACACATGTTTATTAACACTGAAGCAGTAGTTAATTGTCGAGATCCCAAATTTACTATAACACGGAAATAGTAGCCTAATAAACGCCAGAAATTTGCTAATATAGTTCTTTAATTTTGTTTGAGTACGTGAGGACTCATGAAGATAAATAAAATTCATTCTTAGGTATTTCAAGTCGTGGAAACCGAAGATGCAATTTTTGGAAAGAAATACTAATCGATGATTCCTCTTCTGAATCTCTTCAATACATCAACTAGGTTGTAAACCATTTCGTTGGTTTTATTTTAACATCTATTTCGTTATTGTGACAAGCGTCTTGAGATCATAAGTAATGCTCTGCGCTCGAAATTCACATTTCTCTGCAGAACAGGGTAGAATCTGAATTTTTATGAAATAAAGCTGAATAGGCGCATTTTGCTCTTTGTTGTCTTCACCTTTGAATGACTAAACAAACAATGGCACAAATTAGCCTTAAAAACCCAATATGATGATCCAGGGCAAGGGAAGCTTCGTAGCTAGTGTGTTATTAGAATTGTAGGCAATGCGTGTGTGCTCAACCTCGACGACGTCAAAACAACTACAAAGTCCGCGGATGGCACCATGCCTCTTTATTAAGTGCATTAAAGGAACTGTAAAATACAAACGATAAGCCCATTTTTTTTCAATTTAGAGGCAACTTTAGAGTATCTCCTCCAAATTTAGTGTGCGTTACTCAAATAAACGTTAAGCATCAATAGTAGTAAACCAATTATTCTGCCGTGATTTATTTAACCCCTCAAAGTGGACGATGTGAGCTGCGTAAATGTTGCTCCAAGCCATGCACATGAATTCATACTAATTATACAAAAAAGGTAGAAAAAACCTCGACCTTAATAGCTGTTCAATTTACATTCTAAATTTACATTGCTTGACGTCAGTCATGCGAACTGCTCGTAGGCTACTCATGGCACAATCGTTGATTTCACTGAAAAGCGACTTCTCCGTAGGCGTGGCATGAGAATCTTAAACAGAGCTCCATTTTAAAATAAAATTCCACCTAAAAGACGGTTTATAGCAGCTCTCTTATCGCTACCCAAGTCCGATGAGTGCAATCAACTACAACACTAATTCTTTTTCAAACATCTCCATCCACTTCTGTACAATCTGCTGTGCTCAGTTGAACACCTTTAAACCCACCAATTGATCCATCCTTACGGAAACGTAGCAATAGAAAAGAAAACAAATTAAGAGTTTTTACAAATATTCATTTTGGAATTTTGTTTTAGTACGTAATAATACATGATTTTAAATATGATTTGCACCTAACTCCTGCTTCCAGATTAAAGCAAAATGAGATTTAAACCATTGGGATCGAGCTTGCAATTCCGACAAAAGTCCATTCAAACACGAAATTTAGTGACTTTTTATTTTTACTTGCACTTTATTAGCATTTATTCCCTAATCGTGACAAGCACAATAGGAGTATAAGTAGTGCGCTGAAGTCGCTATCTACAAAAGAAGATTCCCAAACACCAGTCAAATCAAATGTGAATGATTGAGCCAGAGTTGCAAACCAAGCTTTTCAATATTCTCGCTTCTCACTCATCCTTATCATCAACACCGTCTTCAACAGCAGTGACTTTCTTAGGCCAATATTCACTACCTGAGAGAGAATTTAATGAAATTTTTGCTAATGAATATCACTCTTGCGTTCATCACTCATTTCGTTTCATCACTAATTCTACCTACAAATCCAATCACGGCTTTTTAAAACCTCCATCTCCGTCTGTCGTTTGCGACCTGATAAATATGTCCGAGGAGTTTATTTGTTGCAATCAATGTCTTGAAGAACACATTTCATTCCTCTATATTAACCCTATAAGTGTAAAGCTAGATCCCGGTAATTAAAAGAGTGATTGAATGCGGAGAGAACTTAAAACCGATGGATATAAATGCAAGAATTGAC